CCTACAGTTTTCTGCTTCAGACCAACTGCCAACTGTCAAAACTACATTAGCACAAAAGGGACAGGGCTTGTGATGATTTGAGGTTGGTGCCTGTGAGTGTCTGAAATGTCAGATGGAAAAATCCTAGTCTTGAAACTTTGAAGGAAAAACTGAGGGAGTTTTCATACCTGCACCTCAGTCCTGCCCTCCATGTGGAAAAAAAAAATAACAACTATGTGACAGAGATACAGGGTACAAAATGGACACTGAAAGTTTTTGTCTTTCAACTTTTTTTTACAACAAAGTTTGTATTATCATCAAGGGAATATGGTTAAGTTACACAATGCTGTGATCAGAAAAATCTCCTCTAGGGAAATGGATGTGTTCTACATCACTTTTCTCCATGCGGGAGATTTTTGTAATCCGTTTTTACTGAAATACATAAGAGTCCAGTGTCACAAACATCTCCCAATACTACTACTTTTTAAGTCATATATGAATCATGAAGTCCTACCACCCTGGTTCCCTGCACATCAGCAACATATTCTCTGCCTCTACAATTATTTTCTATTTTATGAATGTTACATAAATATATTGTGTGTGGATTTGTTGTTACTCTTGTCGCTCAGCATAAGTTCACTGGAATCCGTCCAAGTTGCTGCATGTGTCAGTAAACTCTGTTACTGACGAATGGCGTTGTATCTGTCATGTAGACACATGGATGTTTGCATGGGTTATCTGTTGTAAACCCTCTGAATTGGAAAGTGCTGTTTCTGTGACTACACCTCTGGTTTCCTACAGATGTGGACTGTGTCACTGAGACTGACTGGTGTAAGTGTATAGACAGGACTTGTCCATCGCACAGGCAGAGCCAGGAGGGCACAGGTACCTCTCACTCCTTCTCTGCTTAACCGTGGTTCTAAGAAGTCTCAGTAACGGATTTGTGGGCAGCGACTCTTCTGAAAGAATGTGATGGAATATGACACTAGCTTCCAAGCACGTGTGTTTTCATGACTCATGCTTCATGCAAACATCAAAAACCTACCAATTTCTACAACAACCTTGACACTCTATCTTTTCTTACCCTTTCTCAGCAATGGTATATTGGAGACGGTGCCATCTTTGGGATTTCTTAGCATTATGCTGTTGGACATGCTATTTTCTTTCATGACTGAAAAGGACAAGTTTTGGGCAGCAGAATCAAGCTGTTCTGGAGTCAGATATTTGCCCAGAAATTGACACACTTTTTGCGTGCTGCCTCTGAGGTCCTGTGGGTGGAAAAGGAGTTATCAGGAGAGAGTGGATACAAGCACTGATGGTGACATAGCCCTTGAGTTCTCAAGAAGGTGAATACTTCCTTATAATGTGACCTAAAATTTTGTTTCTAACATCCTACATCATATACATATTCATATAAAACATATACTGATATACATTACTATGTTGTATATATATTTATAAGTACATAATATATTTTATATTGTGTTTATGAGTTGTATATGATGTATATACTATATAATGTTATACAGTATAATATGAAAATATAAG